TTGCCTTCTGTTCACTGTGCCTCCTGTGCCCATGTGGAGTGCGAATTAATTGAAGAACGCTGCGAAGAAGCAGTTCGCGTGCCCGCACAAATCATTCCGATCACCTGCACTTAGACACGCTTCGCTTATATGCCTGCTGCAGGCCAATCGCCGCGCTTGCGGACTGTTGCGTTTTCAGCGTAGTGCGGGCGAAGCAGCCGGCATGGCTCCTGAAAGGCAGCCGAACACTCGTCAACGAGCAACGATGCAACTGTCAATTCATGCCGCACTGGAGGCTTTGAGGTGCTTGCCCCGTAACAAACGCGCGGGAGGTCGTGCCGGCACGTTGTATGGACTCGGGGAACGGCTTTCGCTGTATTATTTTGTTTACGCGTCACAGACTCCGCGGTACGTTTTGGTGCAGGATGTGCGTTTTTGCATTGCAGTATTTTTGTTTGCGCTGTGTGGCGGCCCGCATGTTCGTCCTGCGCTAAGCTATCAAGTAGTGGTTGGTTGAAAAAACGCTATAGAAGAAAACCAATCAGGTCTGCGCAAATTGTGTATAGCATGTGGACGTAAGGCCGCACTGCTTATCTGCCTGCTGCGGACCAGTCGCCATCTTGGGAAAATGAGTATTCAGCGTAGTGCTGGCCACGCCGTCAGCGTCGCCTGTCCTGAACTCGTCTAGAAACGCAGGACGGAGTGACGCTACACGCCACGAAAGAGATGCTGCCCGATTGGCTGTTCGGACCTCGCCCCTTTGCCATGCTTCGGGCACCGAAGAAGGCCTATGAGCGGCGTACTAGTGAAGCCGCTGCGCCCGGATTTTCATGCAACCGCATCCTCCCAGCATTGCCTACCCTAGCTGGTGTGTTTTCCCACTGCAGTACCTGCAACTACAAAGTTTCGGCGGTGTACATATCAGCCTGCGGCTTCTACGCGGCCCTCTCCGCCGAAGTCCATAAAGGGTAGGCATATTGATAAATGCTGTGGAGGAGGACCGGCGAGTCCGGCACAAAGCGCCCCAAACATTTGCGAGGAAGCAGCCCCCCCAATGTGCCGGTTGCACGCCTTCCATCGTTTCGGGAAGCTGTTGTATTTTGCAGGTGACACAGATAGCATGGCCTGGCTTTCGTACGTTTGCAGTATCTGCGTTTGTCGTCTGTCTGGAGATTGGCGAACGCTGTGAATATGTCTACGCTCGGGCAAATCCCTAAGCGCACAGGCAACTAGACACGCTGCTCTGCGTCATGTGCAGAACGGGCCTTGCCTACGGGCATGCTGTGCTTTCATCATAATGTGGCCTGCTGTCTAGATAGCCAAAAACACATAACCAAGCGAAGGTGCAAGCCTGCCAGTAGATGCTGCTGAGGAGGCTGGTGGGTGCTTGGGTCGTGGAAGGGTTTCGGGTGGGAGCGCGGATGTTAGCTCGACACAGCAGAGCGGCTGCTGCTGTCATTTAACCATGGGCACGCATGGTCGCTGCGTTCTTTGCTGCAGGACGTGCGTTTAACCATTGCTGCTTTTGCCTATACCTTCTGCCTTGAGGACATACGTCAGCCTGCCGCTTCACCGCAAGTCATTCTTCACCCGTTAGTACAGCATGGACTGAATGAAAAACGCTTTTTAAAAGCACCAATAAGCCCCGCAAAAATGCTTCCGAACATGTGCAGGTAGACACACCTCGCTGGTGTGCATGCCGCAAAGTACTAATCGATGATGTTGCATTTTCAGTGTAGGGCGGTCGGCGTGCAAGAATTCGTAAAAAAGCGACGATGTAAGCCTTTCGATAGATGAGGCAGCGGAGGCTGGGTGGAGCTTCCTTCTTACCCAGCGTACGGGGGCTAGAGTGGGCAGGTTCAGGAGGCACAGTACAGCACCCCCTGATGTCGTATCATCGTGGATGCACACGGTGGCAATGTTTCTTTACTGCAGGCAGTTAGTTTTTGTATTGAGGCGTCTTCGTTTATTTGATATCTGGAGTGCGTTGGCCGGCTTGCGCAATCATGGCCGCGGTAAGCTGTGAAGCATTGGCAAATTGAGGAGCGCTGTGAAGAAGCAGCGGTGATGCCCAGATGAATCTGTGAGCGTGTCGTCAGCTGGGCCCCCTTTCTTAGTTGCATGCGGCAGACTGAAAACCACCTGGCTGAACCTTTTTTAAGGACACATTTTCAGTTTAGTGCAAGCTCCGCCTTCTGTTTGGCCGGTCGTTGAGACAGCCACGTGTGGGTAACGCACGCTACGCTGCGACGTACCAATGAATGCGGCGGCGGAAACTGTTAGTAGCGTGCCTTTTAGCCACCTATTGGCAACGGAGAGGGGATGGCAGTGCAGCATTGTGGGGCAGCTCCTCGCCTCATGCTATTCGCTGCAGGCAGTGCGGTTCCGCACGACAGTACCTGCGTGTATCATTTGTCTGCCTTGCACAGCTCACAGCACGCGTGCACCGAGTGCTGCGCCTTCCGCGGCCATCTAAAGAGTGTAGGCAGGTTGCGGAACTCCGTAAAGACGCCGGTGATACCCAGATGGAACGTCTAGAGCATCTGCACATAGACCGTCCTTGCTGGCCTCTCTGCTGCAAACCAGGAACCCCTCATCTGAATTGTCGTGTCGTGCGCATAGTGAGGGCAACGGAGTCTGCGTGGTTTGCCTTTGAGGCTGTCAAACGCAGAACGAGCGACAGTGTTGTTTGTTTTTAAGGGCGCCTCATCAGAGGCAACGGCCGACCCTCCAGCCATGTAAATACGTGAGGCAGTGGGGCCTCGTTGGGGCGTGGATCTACGCTGCGTTGCGGGTGCATGGAAGGGCACGACAGAGTGCGATAGAGTGGCACGCGAGAGCGGCTCCTGCTGTCGTATGTGCATGGTTGCACATGCTATCCATGTTGCTTGCTGCAGGCTGTTAGTTTTTCGAATCTGTCTGGTTTGCACTGGCCAGCGTGCCTCTTCTATACAGTGCTAACCGGGGCCGTCTATTGAGTATACCGGAATGAGGAGCGGTGCGGGAAACACTGGTGGCACCCACACAAATCATTCCATGCCTCGGCATGCATATTCATTTTGCTGGTCTGCCTTCTGCAGAGCAGGCACAGGCACGTACGTAGTGCAATAGGCGCAGTAAGCACTAGAAAACGAAGAAACGCACCCTACAAGCGGATGGAAAAGTGCGAAAACCGTGGCCTCGTTGGCGAACGGCTCTTTGCCAACTTTCGGGTGGCTACGAGGGCATGTTAGAGTGGCACGCTAGAGCAGCCATTGCTGTGTTATATTAAATTAGTGGTTTCACTGGCTCGCCATGTTGCTTGCTGCAGGATGTGTGTTTTGGTATATAACCTTCTGCGTATGCCGTCTCCCTGGGGGCCGCACTGCCTGACGCTTGTAGACACTCCATTCTGATCATGGCTATAGAGCATAGGCTAAGTAAGAAATACAGTGAAGTAGCATCGGTGTGGCCCGCACAAATCGCTTCGAGCGCCTTCACGTGGAAGCCGTTCCTTGAGCTCATCACTGCATACCAGAAGCCGTTTCGCGGGGGCTGTTTGGTTTTCAACGTAGTGCAGGATACGCAGGAGTGTGGCCTGTTTTTAAGGCAGCCAAACGCCGGTGAAAGAGGGACGCTGCAACTCTTCGCGTACGCGCGGCGGGGTCGGTGGGAAGGAATGCGCTTCTAAGAAACGTGGCGGAAAGCCGGTAGTGAACGCTAGAACGGAAGAGTAGTGTGGCGGCTGCTGCCTTGGATGGTGGAGGCACAAACTTGCCATGCTTTTCGATTCAGACTGTGCGCTTCCGCATTCCAGTTTTTCTGATCATCATACGTATTCTGTGCATCGATCAGGCTGTTGCTTCCACTATTCCCCTTTTGCCCGTTTGTGCTTATCGCAGATGAGGCTCGCAAACGTCCGGGGCATCGGCGCATAAATACGCATCGTTTTTGCACCGTGCTGCAGACCAGGGATCGTTTTGTGAAAATGTCCGTTCTTGAGCATAGTCCCGGTAGCGGAGTGAGCGTGGCCATCCTGTAAGGCAGAACAACATGCTTTAAGAAACGGCGCCACAAGCGTGGCAATCGATGCGGCAATGGCTCTAGCTAGACGCTTACTCCGTAATTTAGTTTTGGTAAAGCCTCATTCGCGGATGCAAAGACCTGCCATATTTGCTGCAGACGGTGCGTTTCCGCATTGGCGTTTCTCCGTGTATTTTATGTCTGTAGTGCAGTAATCAGCCTGCCGCGTTCATGCAGTGCTCTTTGCGGTAATCTATAGAGGATATCCCCAATGAGGAGTGAATTGGAGAAGCGGCGGTAAGACCCACACAAGTAGTGCCGATCATCTGCACGTAGCAATGGGTCGAAGGTCTGCCTTCTGCAAACCGAAGAACGCATAGTGAACAGGCTCTGGCTTCAGCCTAATGCTTAAGATGCACAGCTCGGCATGCGTTTAGGCAGCTAAACAAGCCTAAACAGGAGACACCGCAGCGGTGTCAATAGGTGCAGCAGCTGCGGTTGATGGTGACGTGCTTTTTAGCAAAGTTTCGGGTAGCCGGTCCGATACCTCTGTAGAGTGTCTCCTGCTCTAGTGCATAAGTGGATGCGCAGGATCGCCGAGCTGATCGCTGTAGCGCGTGCGTTTTCTCGTCGCGGGCTGAGCGTATAGTATGCGTTTGGGGTACACCAATCAACCTACCGACTGACGGATCGATTCCAGCGTCGAGCATCTTTACAATGCGCCTCGGACGTCTGCCTGCTGCAGCGAAAACAACACCTCGGGTAGGTTATTTTGTGTTCTACGAAGTGCGAGAGATGCGGGTGGCGTGGGCGGTCGTCAGTGACCTACAAGCGTGCCAGTAGGTGCAGTACCTGAGGCTGCTGAGAGGGTGGGTTAGAGCGGCACGGTAAGACGAGTCCTCCTGCCTTGTATCCATGGGAGCTGCATGCTCGCTGTGCTGTTTGCTGCAGCGAGTGCGTCTTCGTGTATCATCGGCGTAGATTACATGCCTGCAGGTCACGGTATAGGCTAATCGAAGATGTCTGCAGAACCAGCGTTGAAGTACTCACACGTCATTCTGCTGGTCTGCCGACTGTACACCAAGAACCGCATGCCGGAACGGTTCTGTGTTCAGGCATTCGGGGGTGACGCAGGCCGAGTGGCCTGTCGTTAATACATGCAAAACCGGCGAACGAGCGGCACGGAAAGCGTGTCAATAGGTGCAGCGGTGCCGGCGGATGGCGGCGTGGCTGTTACTCAGTTTCGCGCGAAGAGGGCATGCTAGATCGTCAGAGTGAAGGGTCTTTTGCTCTCACATTTTGAGGAAAACGCGCACTCGCCATGTGATTTGCTACAGCACGTGCGTTTCTGCATGGCGATATCTGCGTACATTGCCTGCGCACTGCTCACGGGTCAACGCGCCGCTTCTACGCAGCCACGTCTGCACCCGGCTTAGGTATAGATATTGACTGATACGCAGAAAACGTTCAGAACATCTGTACGTGTGCACGACTCGCTTGGCGGCCTGCTGCAGATCAGGAACCGCTTAGCGAGACTGTTGTTTTCAGCGTGAAAGAGAGAGATGCAGTTAACGTGGCGTTTATCTACGGCAACCAAGCACGCGCAGACGAACGACGCTGCAAGTGTCTCAGTCGCTGCGCCTTCGAGACCTTCGGGGAGGGTGGCTCAGTAGTAGACGTTTGGCTGGCGGATGGTGCTGGTGATGGCACCACGCTAAATTGAATCCTTTTGGGGTATGTTTAGAGAGGTACATTCACGCCATGCTGCAGGCCGTGCGTCTCCGCATAGCAGCACCTGCACTCTACATCTGGCTGCATTCCACTCGTTTGCCTGCCGCTTCTACGCAGTCCTTTCTGCGTCCCTCTATGGACTATGGGCTGACAGGAAAGCGCTGTGAAGAAGCGCTGATGCTCCCGCACAAAACAGTCCGAGAGCATGAAAATAGACGCGCCCCGCGCCTCTCCCCGCTGCATGGCAGAAAGCGCCTACCGAACATTGCGTGCTTTCAGCTTTGTGCGGGCAAGGCAGTCAGCGTGGCCCGCTGAAGACAACCACGCACCCGCGCGCGAGCGTTGCTGCAACCGTCTTAACACGTGAAGCTGCTGCCGCGGGTAGGAGCGTGCTTGCAACGAGTCTTTTGGGCAGCCAACAGGCAGCACTGGAAGAGCACGGCAGCGCGGTTTTTGCTGTCGTATATTCATGGAGGCGCAGGCTCGCCATGTTGCTTGCTGCAGAATGTGGGTTTTTGCATGGCAGCATATTCTGTGTTTGGAGGCCGCCGGCGTTGGCGTTCTCCAGATGTCGCAAAAGGCACTCCTAGGACCTGCAGCAGGACGCGCCTCGCTGTTCGAGCCCCTGCCAACCAAGAACCGCCCAAGGAAATGTTGTGTTTCCAGCGTAGAGTGAGCGAAGCAGTGAGTGTGACCTGTACTGAGCATTGCGACACTGCAACTGTATCAATAGGTGCGGTAGTGGACGCTGGTGAGAGCACGGAGCCTATCCAGGTTAAGGGCGGCTAAGAGGGCGCGTTAGGGCAGCGCAGCAAATTGGCTCCTGCAGCGGTATTTTTAGGCAGGTAAAGGTCCGCCACGTTGTTTCTTGCAGGAGGTGCGATCGCTCATTCAGTTTCTGCGTATCCTATGTGCTGTGCACCGATCAGCCTAGGGATTGTACGAAGGCCCTCTTGAGCCTATTTATCGAATTACGGGAAATTTGGGAATTCTGTGAAGAAGCTCTTGTGAGGTCTGTAGAAGCAGCTGATATCATCTGCACGTGGGCAGGCAACTTTTGTCTGCCTCCTGTTTACCAGAAAGCGGTTAGCGGAAATGTTCTGACGTTGACGTAATGCGGGTGGCGCAGTCAGCTTCCCCCTATCTTTCATGCAACTAGAAGCGCGAGAATGACTGACGTTGCAATCGTATCTTTGCGTGTTGCAGCGCAGTGTGTCAAATGGCATCCATTTGCAGACCCACGTGAGACCTCCTTGCTAATTATGGCGAAGCCGAGTGGACAGGCTAAAGCGAACGGTGTAGCAGCTCCTGCTGTCGTATCCTGCCGTACACTCATGGGTTCACCGGCTCGCCACGATGAATGCTGCAGGCCGTACGTTCCCGCACTGAGGTGTCGCCGTATTCATCTCTCGGAAGCGCACCAATCAGCGTTGCCACTCTTCGCGGTCCTTCCTGTGGGTGTCTGTCCACAATAGTCTGATTGAGGACCCCTGAGATGAAGCGCTGGCGAGGCCTGCACTCATAGATCGCAGAATCTTCATGTATGTGCGCCTCACCCATCTACGCACAATAGGCAAAAAATCTTTTTCAGAGCCTTTGAGGGTTCAGGCTAGTGCAGGCGACGCAGTTAGCGTGGCGTGTCTTCAAGAAAGCCAAATACGCGTGAAGAAGCCGCGCAGCCAGCGCCCCGATACGTGCCGCAGCGTGGTAGCGGCTTATAATCCACGTTTGTTGAAGCGTATCGGGCGGTACGGTAGAGCGGCACCTGCTGTTGTATATTAACAGGTGCACATGGCTGCCATGCTGCTTGCTGCAGGCCGTTAGTTTTCGCGTTGCACGATATTCTGTGCCTGGAGTACACCAAACAGCCTGCCACATCTACTGTCCCCCCAGCAGCATTCTGAAACGTACAGCGTTCCTTGCTGTGAAGGCACCAAACCGTGCACATGAATGAAGTACACTGCAACCGTTCCATTACCTAGAGCGACGGAGGCCAGGGAGATGGTTTTTCGTACGTTTGGGCCGGCGGCGACGGAGCGTTCGAACGGCACGGTGGAGTTGTCCCCGCTGTTGTATATTGTTCTGTGCAGATGGTGCTCATGCTGTTTGTTGCAGCAAGTGCGTTGTCTAATTCGAATATTGTTGTGTAGTGTATGCCTCTATATTGCACCGAAAAGCTTGCTGTTTGCGTAGACTGCGCAGTCCGCGGCAGTCTACAAAGACTGGGCGTGATTGAGGACTGCTGTGGAGAAGCGCTGGTGAGAGCCGCACGAATACTTCCGGGCGTCCTGGCGTTGACGCATCTCGCTGGTCTGCCTGGTGCATACGAGAAATCGCTTATTGAAAATATGGTGCGGCGTTGAGATCGTCTAGAAACGTGCGGCAGCGCCTGCTGCTAGGGCCTTGCTTCTTACTCAGATGCCCGAGAGCAGAGAGGGGAAGTTATAATGGGACGGTAATCCTGTTGCCGTGTAATTCATACACGCGAGCCTGGTACTGTTCGCTGCAGCGAGTATGTTTGCGCGTCGAACTATCCAGGGCTATTCTATATCTGGAGCGGGTTGAGTAGATAGACGCTCATTCGCGGTCTCCTCTGCGCCCTTTGCTGAAGCATAGGTTAAAACGAAGAACCGTGTGAAGCATCAGTGGTGAGCCGGGTTAGACCTTCATCGCTGATATACCTACTACTGACTAGGCGCGGATTTTCGAAAACGCTATGCCCTGAACGCAATCCCGGGGACTGAATTATCATGGGTGGTCTGTAAGGCAGCCAAGACATGATCCGGCGATGCTGCAATCGTTTCAATCTGCGCGACTGCGCTCGGCGTAGTAGGTACGGTATGTTAAAGCAGCACCGTAATGTGGGTAGTGCTTCCGTGTGCGCATCGCGGCACGCTAGCGCTGTGTTGTGTTTTGCAGGCAGTGCGTTTTCGCATTGTAGCATCTGTGTGCATTATCTGTCTGAAGTGAGCCGTTCAGGCTGGCACTTCTACGCACTTCTTTCTTCGCCCATCTGAAGAACGAATGCTGGCTAAGGAACACTGGGAAGAAACATCGGTCAGGTCAGCACAAATTGTCCCAAGCATCTCCATGCAGACGTGCATCGCTGCATTGCCTGCCGCAGAGCAGAGACTGCTTTGCGAGACTTTGATTTCCTAATCGGAATGCGGGAAACCAGTCAGCATTTGTTGCCCGCACGCCAGCCAAATACGAGTAAACTATGTAAACGTTGCACAAGCGAAGGGTGGTGGCACCTTGTTCTATACCGCGTTTGCGGAAGCCGAAAGGACAGCATGGCATAGCTTCGCAGAGCGGCTCCTGCTGTCCAGCATTCGCGGACTAACAGGATCGTCATGCTGTTGGTTGCAGACAGTGCGCCTTGCATTCCACGTTCCGACAGCATTATGCGTTAGGGACTGTATTGACAAGCCGGGGAATTCTCGGCATTCCCAGTCGTGGGTGTCTATTCATTTTCACGGATATGGGGGTCCTTGTGACGAAGCGCTCATAAATCGTTTTGAGCATCTGCAGTTGGCTACACATTGCCCGTCTGCCTGCTGCAGAACAAGAACTACGTCGTAGGGCGTTAGTGTGTGCAACTTTGTGCGGGTGATGCAGTCAGCCTGGTCTGTCTTTAACGCCGCCAGCGGTCCATGAACGAGCGACGCTGCAACTGCGTCAACAGTCGCGGGTGCGGTGGCTGCTGGGAACTTGCCACATAGCGAATTTTCGCGCAGCTGATAGGGCTCGTTTGACGGGCATTGTAGAGGGGCTCCTGCTGTCGTGTATTTATTGATGCACAGTCTCACCATACTGTTGCTGCAGGACGTGCGTTTCCGCCCTGCAATATCTGCGTATAAATTTTGTTGGAAGCTCACCGAGCTTTCACGCGGTTCTTCATAGTCCATTCGGTGCCAGTCCGTATAGACTGATGACTAAGGAATGCTGTTAAACAGCATCGGCTGGTTTGCAGGTGTACGGGTTTCGCTTGTCTGCCTGCTGCCACTCAGCTAGCGCTAAGAGAGAGTGCTACGTTTTCAGCGAAATGGTGGCGGCACAGTGAAGTCGATGTATCTTTCAGGTAGTTGAAAACGGGTGAGTGAACGACGCTGCGCCTTGTACCTTTGGAAGGCAAGCTTGAGGAGGCCAAGCGAACAGGTCCTGCTGTCGCATATCCATGGATGCACAGGCTGGCCATGTTTGTTGGTACAGGCAGTGGGTTTCATGTGGCAATACCTTCGTGGATTATCTTGATAGACTGCATCGATGAACCTGCTCGTGCTGCGCATTTCTCTCTCCTAGGGTCTATTCAGTAGGGTTAGATTGATGGACGCTGGGCAGAAGCATCAGCAATTCACGTACGTAACATTTCGAGCATCTGCATTTGTAGCGCCTTGCTAATATGCCTGCGGCTGACCGAATACCTAAGACGTTCGGTTTTCAGCGCAACGCACGCGAGGCAGTCAGCGTAGCGAGTCTTTAAGGCAGCCCACCACGCATGAAGGACAGGCGCTGCAACCGTATCAATCTGTGGCGCGGCGGGTGAAGCAACCAACGTTCTACTTAACCCCCTTTCGAGCGGTGGAGACTGGGCATTAGAGAAACACTGTAGCACGGCTCCTGCTGCCGTGTTTGTAGTGGAGCGCAGGCTCGTCATCCTGCTTGCGGCAGTTGGTGCGTTTCCCCACTCGAGTGCCTCCGTATATTCTGTATGTAGAGAGTGCACGTCTGCCGGGCGCTTGTACAGAGCCCCTTCAGCGCCCGCATCTAAAGTAAAGATTGGCTGAGGAACGCTCCGAGGAAGCAGCGGCGATGCCCGGAAAAATTGTCCTCGGGTAGGCTTAGAGGGAATGCGATGACAGCACAGTAGAACCCGCTTGCTGTCGCATATTTATAGAGGCGCATGATCGCCAACTGCAGGAGGTGCGTTTTTACTTTGCAACACCACTGTGGTTTACGTTCCAGCTGGGCACCCATCATCCTGACAGTTCTCCGCATCCCATTCTGTGTGCATTTGTAAACTATCGGCTGATTGAGGAACGCTGTGACGAAACGACGGTGAGACCCACACAAACCATTCTGACAATCTGCACCTAGTAACGCAGGACTGGGGTGCCTGCTGCAGATGAAAGCCGGCTTGGCGGCATTGTCCTGTTTTCAGCGCAGCACGGTCAACGCAATCACGGTGGCCTGTCTTAAAGGCAGCCAGACGAGCCTGGACGAGCGACACCGCAACTGTGTGAATAGGTCCGGCTGCGGCTGGAGGGTGCGCGGGTATTAACCGATTTTCGCTCAGCGAAAAAGGCACGTTTGTGGCTCGTTGTTGGGCAGCTCCTGCTATTGGATATTCATGGAGGCTCATGCTCCCCAATTTGGTCTGCTGCAGAACGTGCGTTTGTGCACTGCACTACCTAGGGATATTAGGATATTATTTGTCTAGCGTGCACCAATCAGCTTGCCAGTTCGTTGCATTCCCCCCTGCGCCCGTTTGTATAGGTTGATTGACAAACTCTGTGAAGACGCACCGGCGAGAGCCGTCCAATTCAGTCGGAGCGCCTGAAGTTAGAGAAGGCGTGCTTGTGTCCCTGCTGCTGACCAGGAAATTGTGAGAAGTGTGTATTTTTAAGCGCAGGGCGGGTGCCACAGCAAGCGTGGCCTGTCTTGGATGGAGCCAGACAGGCAAGAACAGGCGACGCAACGACTGTGTTAAAGTGTAGCGGAGGCAGGTGCGAGCGTGGAACTTCGCGAAGCGAAGAGAACATGTTAGAGCTGCTCCTGCATTTCGGTGCAGATGCTTGCCATGCTGTGTTCGGAAGTTCGTGCGTGCTGGCGCTACAATAGCTTTGTAGTATACCTGCCCGGAGTGCGCTGGCCAGCCCTCGTTGCGGCAGTCTGAAAAGACTGCCACTGAGCACCTGCACGTGGACGCGCCTTTCGTGTCTTTACATTGCAGACCAGACGCCGGTTAATGGAGATGATGCGTGTTCAGCTTAGTGCGGCGATGCACTCAACCTGGCCGCTGTTCAAAATGAAACAGAAAGAGCGACGCGGTGAAAATGAAAATATGTGCGGAAGCTGCCACTGTTATCTTGCTTCTTATTCAGCTGTCGCGAAG